GTGTGTGTCTTCAGATCATGGCTCTTCATCGTCTCTGGCGTGTGTCGTCTCTGCTGCGTTCGGTCGTGAGCGTGACTCTGCGCAGAAATATCGGTCTGTCTGCCGTCGTCTTCAACAAAGCCAAAGACCTGGATCCCGTGCAGAAGCTCTTCCTGGACAAGATCCGCGAGTACAACACCAAGAGCAAGTGTGTGCCGCACTCATACTGACCCATACTCGTCTGAGACGTCTGGTGCTGCGCTTCCGCTGGTCTAGACTGGTTTCTCTGGTTTGTGTCGCAGGGCCGCCGCTGGTGGTGTGGTTGAAGCGGGTCCTGCGTATCAGAAGAACCTGACGGAGGAGATGACCAAACTCCAGCGTTTATACGGAGGAGGAGACCTCACCAACTTCCCTCAGTTCAGATTCCCAGGTGAGCTTGAGGAGGATGATGATGATGAGGAGTAGGATGATGATGAAGAGGAGGAGGAGGATGATGATGATGAGGAGGATGTTGATGATGATGAGGATGATGATGAGGTTGAGGAGGATGATGATGATGAGGAGGAGGATGAGGATGATGAGGTTGAGGAGGATGATGAGGAGGTTGAGGATGATGATGAGGAGGAGGATGATGAGGATGAGGATGATTCATTTAGTTTAATTAATGTACTAAATTATCAAATAACAAACTGAAATAAAAATGTATAATTTTAAACACGTTAAAGAAAATAGCAACTAAAATGACTAAAACTAAATCAAACTATATATAGACATATAAAAAAAATACCAAAACTTATTAACATATTAACAAAAACTATAATAGTACATCAATGATACAAAATCTATTAATATTAGTATTGTTGCATTTTTAAATACAAATAGTTAAATGTTTTATATTAAATAAATAAATACAAGTGTGTGTGTGTGTATATATATATATATATATATATGCATAAACAAATGAATATTTTGATTGAATATGTAGTAATAAAACATTTAACAAGGAAAGCAGTGGATGAAATGAAAGCTTTAATGAAATAATTGGTGCAAAGCAGGATGATTTTCATCTGAGCTACAGGAACAGATTATTAATCCACACATAATTTCTTAGGTCAGTGCTTCTGTAAGATATGAAGCTCATGTTTGATGCATCTGGATAAAGAAAACTGCTGAAGCTGATCCTACAGAGCTAGCTTTGTCCGTTAGGTTAGGTTCAGTTTTGTGACTGATCTGCATGTTTGTCGTGTCGTTGTTTCCACAGAAGCCAAACTAGAAGATGTGACGACCAAATGATGAACACATCTCTGTCCCTGCGCTGGAATTATGAGCTCGATATTTAATAAACTGTCTTTGGTTGAAACATCAGTTCGTCTGTGATTCTGCGGTTCACTTACAGCCTGAGCTCCTAAAAAAATCACGTTCCTGAGTTATTGTTCTGCTTTTCTAATTCTGGTCTTTATCTCGGTAACACATTGATATTTTTAATATTTGCGCCAGGGTTATAGTTCATTAAAACTATTGAATACAAAAAATAACCGTTACTCAAACATTAACTGAAACAATCAAAAAAAAAAAAAGGCAACATTTAAATTTTCGTTTATTTTAGTTGCATTTAAAGTAATAAAATAAATAGAGCTGTCGATTAATCGCATCCAAAATACAAGTTTTGTTTATATATGTGTGTGCTGTGTATATGTATTATGTATTTATAAATACAAACACACATGTATATTTAAGAAAAAATTGTTTATATATTAAATATTTATATATACGAATATAAATGTATTTACATGTAAATATTTTTTAAATATACTGTATGTGTGTGTATTTATATATAAATAATAAATATACACAGTACACACAATGTAAACAAAAACTTTTATTTTTGATGCAATTAATCGTTTGACAGCACTAAAAATAAAATAGAAATAAAACTAGATATTTAAAAAATTGACAAATTACAAAAATATACTTTGAAAGTTAAAATTATAACAAAATTAAAAAAACACAAATTAAAAAATAACTATAATAGTATATTAAAATACAAATTTTTTTGTCCATCTGAAAATCTAGGTAAAACATTTTCGAGCTTCAAAAAGTTACTTTATGAATCGCGAGGTTTATACAGTTGATCTCTGTGATGATTTCATTTAGGCTTTTATTCATGGCATAAACACTGATTAAAAACAAAATATAACTTTAGGGCGAATAAGTGACTAAAATTAAATTTTTGATTTAAAAACATCAGTAAATGTTGAAATAACATTAACGCAGTAGAAGTTTTGTTTAATATAGTTAACTAATGTGAACAAATACAATTTAAAAATGCATTAAAGAACAAACTTGAACACTTTTAGTTTTAGCATGAAGCTTTACAAATTCTGTGAGAAGCATATTGTCTGTGAAAGCATTAATGTTAACAAACGAAGCCTAACTGTACTTTTTCGGTCTCATAATTTTGTCATTCAGCATGAAATCTCATTTCTGCTCACCGTGCAGCAGCTAAATAAATAAATGTTCCAATTCAGATACAATCAGACAAAAAGCAGATATTTTTATTCCAAAACAAAAACACAAATACTGATAAAATGTACAATAATTCAGCCCATTCCACACTCGGTAGATACACACATGATTGAGTTGAAATAAAGGCACGGCGTGTCAAAGGTCATCGACTGGTTTAAGGCTCCAGGAGACCATCAGAGGAGCATTATTGCAGCAGAGACTGAATGTTGAGTTTTTCCAGCTGTTTCTTCCAGTGTCTCAACAATCCCCATCCATCCATCCGTCTGTGCTTTTCCCATCACAGCATGAACGACTGAGTGTGCTTGAAATCCTGAGGCTGAGAAACATTCACAATCACATTTCTGGTCATCGCTGATCTGCTCAACATGCATTCAATTACAAAAAATGGTGTAAAATAAAAAATATGGATATAAAATGAAATTAAATTGAAATAAAACACATCTAACATTACTGACAGTGTAGGAAAAAAGTCAAATCAATGTTTTGTAAATAATATATTAATGTACTATATAAATCATTGATCTGTTTAAATTTACAAAGAAAAGTGTAGAAATAAAAATATTAAAACAAAAAAAAATGAAACTGGTAAAAAAAAATAGTCAAATCATTAAAAAAAACTACAGTACTATAAGCAGAAAAAAATGTAACAAAATAAATGTGCAAATAATATTTTACATATTTTGTCATAGTATAAATTATTGATCTACCTAATATAAATTTAATTACATTAAGTGTATAAATAAAATAAAATAAAAAACTAAAAAATGTTGCTGCTGATTAAATTGTAATGTTTATAATAATTAAATGTAATAATAATTATTATTATCAGCAGCATTATTATACATGTGTTATTATTTAATGTATTTAGTTTTTTGTTATAATTAATTTATTAATAATTTAATTTATTTCTATTTTTGTCATTGTCATTATTATAATATAAATTTATTATTATTTATGTGTTACTGTTTTTATTATTATTATTATTCCAAGTGTTGATAATTTGCATGACAGATGGTTATGAATCAGTCTGACTGAAATGAAAATCTCACTCACTTCTTTGGGAGGATGACTGTAGCCTGAATTTTGACTGAAACAAAAGAAATAACAGTGTTAAACAATCCAGCAATTACATGATGATGCAAGAACAAAAAACAGAAAAAAAATCAAACACACTCTCTCTTCACGTGTGTGTGTGTGTGTGTGTGTGTGTGTGCGTGCATGTGAGAGTGTGTGCGAGTGAGTGTGTGTGCGTGCGTGTGAGAGTGTGTGTGTGCGTGTGAGAGTGAGTGAGTATGTGTGTGTGTGTGTGAGAGTGAGTTTGTGTGTGTGCATGTGTGTGTGAGTGTGTGTGTGTGCGTGAGAGTGTGCGCGTTTTTGTGACAAATGAGGACATAAATTTGTATAATGACAAAGGTATGACAGGTATTACAAGGAGAAGGTGACTGTTCAGGACATTACCCCATGTCCCCACTTTTCAAAACGCTTATAAATCACACAGAATGGAGTGTATTGAAAATCTGAAATAGCACAAAGTTTCCTGTGAGGGGTAGGTCAGAGCCGAGCTGGGCACGTCACATGACGGCGTGTGCGGAGGCACTGAAACCACACAAAACACGTCACACAACAGCAGAACACACAGAGTGCCAGACAGCAGGACAGACGCGAGTTACCCAGCACTGTCAGCGTGACGTTGGTCTCTCCCAGCGTGATGGTGTCCTGCGGAGCGCTGACCTCGCAGCGGTATTTGCCTGCGTCGGTCTGAGTCACTCTGTGCAATCGCACCGTCGCACCCTTGATCTCCGCGCGGCCGTGAAACGGTTTGTGTGTGTGTGTGTGAGAGAGTGTGTGTCTCTCTCTCTGTGGCGTGTCTCACATGTGTTCGGTTCTGTGGAGGTTCTGGCTGCTAATGTGAGCGGCGCCGTGACACTGCGGGATCCAGAACGACCTGCAATAACCCAGTGCTCAGGTCAAAGGTCAAGCACTACCATCCGCCGCCAAACGGCATGCAGAACAACGAGCGAATGAGCCAATCACATGCGCTTATTAACCAGGGCCCGTATTCACAAAACATTTGATCTTATCACTAAGAGTTCTCCTAAATAGCAGTAAAAGTTAAAGAGTTTCTCTTAAACCCTATTCACAAAGCTGCTGAGACAAACTTGTACTGAGGAACAGAGAGAAGTCTTAAGCTCAGAGTAAGGGGGTGGGGTTTACCTCGTTGCTATGGTGATGTCATCATGCTTATTAACTATGCACACAGTGATTGGCTGATAGTCTCTGTTAGAGATTCATTCATAGAAATATTGAAGAGTGCGATATTATGTCGCTATATTCAAATAAAGGTTTAAGAATAATAATAAATAATAGATTTTATAATGTAGGCTAAGTGTCACTAATTAAAGAAGCATATGTTCAGCTAATTGTCAGCCTCTTACATGTGTGCTTCTCATAATTAGTGAATATGCATCTAAACAGCCTTTTTTAAAATTGCACAATTCTGACCTTTTTGTGCAATGTTTTGCGTTTATATCTCACAATTATAACCTTTTTCATACAATTGAGTTTATCTGACAATTCTGACCTTTTTGCACAATTGCGTTTATATTTGTCAATTCTGACCTTTTTTGGGCAATTACGATTTTATCTCGCAATTATGACTTTTTTTTGCAATTATGACCCTTTTTGCACAATTGCGGGTTCATATCTTATTCTGACCTTTTTGCGCAAGTGAGTTTATATCTCACAAATCTGACCTTTTTCGCACAATTCTGACTCTTCTCACACACACACACACACACACACACACACTGCATCTAAACAGCCTTTTAATAAACAGAGTGGAATAATCTTGGCTGATCGTAAGACATGCAAACGTAAAGAAAACCAAACTGGACGCGAGAACAGCTGTGACTTCTTCACCAGCTGCTTAATGAAACAAGGATATAATCAAAGGAGAATTTGGAGTTCAGATAACCTTTCAAACCGAAGGCGATATCTTTATTAAAGCTCATTATCGTCACATGTTTCTAAAATGTTTCTGTTCCGAGGCAGATTTAAGGATAGTTTGTGGCTTAGGACTCCTCTTCACTGCTCCTAACCTTTCTCAGATTTAGGAGCTAGTTTTAGAGCTAAAACACTTCGTGAAACACTCTTAGAGCAAACATTTAGGAGTCCCACACTCTCACACACTCACACTCACACACTCACACACACTCTCACACACTCAAACTCACACTCACACACACACACACTCTCACACACTCACACACGGTTAGTGAAGCAGTAAACTAGCTGTCTTACCTTCCTCTGTGTCCTGTGTGTGACGGTTCAGAGGCAGAAATCAAAAGAAAGTCAAGATGTAAAAACAACTTATGAAATATGAACATTAATAAGAGTCAGGAAACTGAACTAAATATGCACTGTTGATATAAAGAATGACACAATCAACTTCAGTGTTATTATTGTTACCAAAAACTACAACTATTCAAAACTGTTGTAATAAAGCTCAAGCAAAAATATAAATGTTATTGAAAAACTTAAAACAAAAAGGCGAAGTACTAAAATTACTAAAACCGAAATAAAATAAAAATAAAGCAAAATTTAAAAAATGCAATAAAAATGTATAAAAAAAACTGTAGAAACTGTACAAATTCTGTTCATAATTTCCACCACAGAGGATTAACGAAATCCTGAGGTTAAAATAAATAAATAATAATAATCAAAACATTTTTTTTCTGGGAAAGGTTTGATCTGGACTTGACATTATTAAAAGTATAAATGATAATGATTTACTCAGTTTAAGTTTATAAGAGTTACAAGTGTATAAACGTATCAATTCATTAAAGAAAATTTAATTAGAACAGAAATTGATACTTTGTACCAAACTAAACTTAAAATTAAGATGATTAAAAACACTAAAAAAAAGTTAAACTTAAAACTGAAAATTAAAATGATAGCCAATTTAAAATATTAAAAAATCTTATAATAGTATAAATAACACTGCTCAACTGTTTCTTTTGCACATAATTTATATACATTTTCATACATAAATCTTCCATTTTTTTCACTTTTAAAATTTATTAATTTTTTTAATTCTTCAAAGAAGTATCCATCAGTTTGCAAGTCTTTTGACTGGACTATGTGAATCAGTAAGTGGTCAGTTTATCAGCTGAACTCACGGCTGAAGAGTCCGTGCCGATGAGCGTAAAACCCTCCGAACGCACAGAGAAACAGCAGCAGAGCCAGAAGCAGCACTCCAGAGATCAGCGCCGCCTCGTTCAAATCATCTGCAGACATCACACATCACAAACTCCAGCAAACACATCCTTCATACGGGACCCTGGAGCTCAATAAATAAGCTTTCCATTGATGTGTGGTTTGTTAGGATAGGACAATATTTGAAAATCTGGAATCTGAGGGTGCAAACAAATCTAAATATTGAGAAAATCATCTTTAAAGTTGTCCAAATTAAGTTCTTAGCAATGCATATTACTAATCAAAAATTCAGTTTTGATATATTTACGGTAGGACATTTACAAAATATCTTCATGGAACATGATCTTTATTTAATATCCTAATGATTTTTGGCATAAAAGAAAAATGTATAATTGTGACCCATACAATGTATTGTTGGCTATTGCTACAAATATATCCCATATAGCTGTAATATAATAACTATGGACTTCATGGATGTTATTACAGGATGAAAAGGCCAATCTGCACTTTTCCTGCAAGCACTTTGGGTTTCTCAGATTAATGTTTTTATATCAAATCTTCGTCACTAACACATCATAAATCACAGTGATATTTTTGCATTACGTACTATAATTTTTCATTAATATTTTGAATAGGCTTTTATTTCTATATCTTCAGTTTTCATTTTAATGCTTAGTTTAAGTAATTTTGCTATGTGCTTTTGTCATTTTCATTAGCTTTTGTTTTTATTGAGATTTACATTTTTTATTTCCGTTTTAATTTGTTTTAATTTCCAGTTAGCAATTTTACTGCTTCAACTTAAAAATTAGAAATGTTGCCACTGCAAATAACTGAAATAAATGTAAGTTTTTCATATAATTTTATAGTGTATTTCAGCTGCTTTTCATCCAGGGTTAAGTTTAAGTTAGATATGATCTTGTATATTTTTGTTATAAATGTCTAATAGAAATGACAACAAAAACATGAGATTTACATGTCTAATATTTTTAAAAAGACAAAAGAAATGAAAGGGCAGCGCTTTTGTGGATCAGTGCTATTTTAGCATCTCTGATGCTTTTGTCAAAATTTTAAAATAGATTTTATTTTTATATTTTCTGTTTACATTTTCATTAAAAAAAATTGTAATTTTGTGTTTTTGTCTCTTTTTAAATAAATTTGTATAGTTTTGGTATTATTCAAATTTGTAATATCTATTAGTTTTAATTTACATTATCATTTTAAAGTTTTAGTAATTTTGTTGTGCGTTTTGTCTTTTTTATACATTTGTATAGTTCTCGTAAATATGTAATTTTTTATATTTTATTGTTAGATTGTTAACATTTTCATTTGAAAGTTTTAGTCATTTTGTTGTGTTTATCTTTTTAATACATTTCTATATTCACATTTGTTATATTTTAGTTTTAGATTTACATTTTCGTTTTAAAGTTTTAGTAATTTTTTTTAATAAGTCTGTATAGTTTTCATTTTTTTTAATATATTAAAATTTTATTTTATGTAATGATTTTTAAAAATGGTTTTAGTTTTACTTTTAAGTCCTCAAAAGGAAGTTTTGGGAGGTTTTGTCAGGTTCAGCTCAATTCTGGGTACAAATCAGTTACAAACACACCCTCTTTCACTCACACACACACACACACACACACACACTCACACACACTCACACACTCACACACACACACACACACAC